GGTAGAAACTACAGTAAAGAGCAGAGTTATCAGACACACAGGTGAATATGATTTGTTGGGGAATAGTCATTACAGCTTTTGTAAAGGGAAATCATGCCTCACCAATCTATTAAAATTCTTTGAGGGAGTCAACAAGCATGTGGATAAGGGTGATCTAGAGGATATAGGGCACTTGGATTTTCAGAAAGCCTTTGACAAGGTCCCTGACCAAAGGCTCTTAAGCAAACTAAGTAGTCGTGAGATCATAGGGAAGGTCCTCATAGAGCAGTAACTGGTTAAAAGACAGGAAACAAAGGGTAGGAATAAATGATCAGTTTTCACAAAGGAGAGAGGTAAACAGCGGGGTCCCCTAAGGATCTGTACTGGGACTTGTGCTATTCAACATATTAAGTAATGATCTGGAAAAGAGAGTGAACAGTGAAGTGGCAAAATTTGCAGATTATACAAAATTATTTAAGCTAATTAAGTCTACGGCTGCCTGCGAACAGTTACAAGGGGAGCTCACAAAACCGTGTGACTGGACAACAAAATGACAGATTAAATTCAACATTGGTAAATGCAAAGTAATGTACATTGGGGGAAAAAATAATCCCAACTACACATATATAATGATGGGTTCCAAATTACTTGTAATCACTCAAGAAAGAGATCTTGAAGGCACCGTGAACACCATGTCTAGTGTTGGTTGGAAAGGATACATGGAACTGGAAATGGTTCAGAGAAGGACAACAAAGATGATCAAGGGTTAGGAACGGCATCCATACGAGGAGAAACTACAAAGCTTAGGGTTGTTCGTTTTAGAAAAGAGATGACTGGGGGAGATATGATAGAGGTCTATAAAATCATGAATGGGGTAGAGAAAGTAAATAGAGAAGTGTTATTTACCCTTGCCCACAATAAAGAAATCAGGGATCACCTGATTGAAATTAATAGGCAGCAGGTTTAATATAAACAAGAGGAAGAACTTTTTCACACAATGCACAGTTAACCTGTGGAACTCATTGCTTTGGGATGTTGTGCTGGTCAAAAGTATAACTGGGTTCAAAAAAGAATTAGATAAGTACATGGCTATTAGCCAAGATGGTCAAGGGATGCAACTCCATCCTCTGGGTGGCCCTAGCCTCTGAGCGCCAGAAGGGAAAGAGGGGTGGATCTCTCCAACTGCCTTGTTCGGTGCACTCCCCCTTAAACTCTGGCACTGGCCACTGTCGGAAGACAGGATACTGGACTAGATGGACCCTTGGTCTGATCCAGTCTGGCTCTTCTTGTAATAAATGCTCCATGCTAGCTCACGAGGGCTCAACTCTGCCTCCGTTTACTGATGATCTTAGTAGAAGTTCCACATGTGCAGATGAGGACCCAGCTGGGCCTGTAGTGTTCCCCCACCTCAAATCTATTGGCCTTAAGGGTGGGCCATGTGCAGGCCCTGAAGAGCAAGGGAACTGCTTGGGCGACAAACTCATTGATTCCACGGCCAGGAGGGACCATCGTGATCGGCTAGTCTGACACCCTGTAGGGCACAGGCCAGAGACCTGCCCCAAATCATTCCTAGAGCAGAGCAGTTAGACAAACAGCCCATTGGTGATTTAAAAATGGTCAGTGATGGAGAATCCACCATGACCCTTGGTCAGTTGTGCCAATGGTTAATTACTTGCACTGTTAAAATGTTATGCCTTATTTCCAGCCTGAATTTGTCAAGCTTCAACTTCCAGACACTGGCTCGTGTAGAGTGAAGAGCCCGTTATTAAATATTTGTTCCCCAAATTGGTATTTCTAGACTGTGATCAAGTCACCCCTTCACCTTCTTTGTTAGACTAAATAGAGCTCCTTGAGTCTGTCATTATAACGCACATTTTCTAACCCTTCAATCATTCTTGTGACTCTTCTCTGACCCCTCACCAATTTATCAACATCCTCTTTGAATTGTGAACTCCAGAACTGGACACAGGGTTCCAGCACTGGTCCCACCAGTGCCAAATACAGAGGGAAAGTAACCTCTCTGCTCCTACTCGAGATTCCCCTGTTTATGCATCCCAGGATCGCATTAGCCTTTTTGGCCACAGCATCGCACTGGGCGCTCAAGTGCAGCTGATCAGGGTTTGTGGTGGACAAATCTTTTTCAGTCTCTGCTTCCCAGTGTAATGAGGGTGCCCCTTCGAGATGGGGCTCCAGCTGCAGTTGGGAGCCAGGTTCAGAGTGGTGGGGTGGATCGGGCCCATCTGTGGCTGCCTTCCCCTGCATTGCTACACAAAGCGAGCAAGCAGTGGGTGAATGGACAATGATTTTTTCATCTATCAGTTATGTAACTGCACATCTAAGCAGCAGAGTTATGAATAGCTTTTCATAGTAAAACTGCAAACTGTTCTAAGGGATTTCTTCAGCTATGGGCACAACTGTTCAGCTGCAGCTTGCTAGTTCTGCAAGCCATTGCTGCCTCTCTGATTCACGTATGTTCATTACAGGTGCATCACTTCCTGTGGGTTTAATTGTCATAAGACTCAATTCCTCCCTACGCTGACATCTGACTTTCAACAACCAGGGCAACCACTGACTGAGGGGGAACCCTAGCCCCATGAAGTCAACGGGAGCTTTGTCATTGACGTTAGCAGGGCCAGGATTTCACCTGTACTGTCCCCACACAGGATGTGATAATTCTCCTGGGGTTTCTCAAAGCTGCAGTCTTGGCCATGCTGTTTGGCTGTTGTCCTTTTTCTAGCTCCTACATAGCTACATAGGTTTTAAAAACAAAAGAGGTCATCTAGTCTGACCTGCACAGCACAGGCCAGAGAAGCCCACCCAGGGATTCCTGCACCTAGCCCATAGCTTGTGACTGAGCTAGCGCAGAGCTTTTAGGAAGAGACACCCAATTTTGATTTAAAGACTCCAGGCTAGATCCACAAAGGAATTTAGATCCTCAACCCCCTGCTCACCTGCTGCTTAACCCTGAATGTGCCTAAATTCCTTGGCACCATAGCTTCCACTGGTGGACATGTGCAAAGCCGCTAATTCCTGAGACTGCTGAGCTGCCTGGTCCGATCCTCAAATGAGGTGTTACCCCACCTGTCTCGCTTGCTGTGCCCAATCCTGTGGACATGCTCGGAGCACGCTAACCCACACAACACATGGTGCGGGTTCACCCTGTACTCAATCACTCAGTGGTTCGAGCACTCAGCTGGAAGGCCTAGGTTTGAATCCCCCTCTGCTTGGTTCAGAGCAGGGACATGAACTTGAATCTCCCCCACCTCAGCTGTGTGCCCTGACTGCCAGGCTCTGGCGTACTCTGGGGCAGGGGTCTCCATTTCTTCTGGCGAAGCTGTTCTTTGTGTGCGATATTGAAACAGTCACTGGTCCAGAGAGAGAGCGATTGTAGCCCAGGGGTTAGTGCGCCTCCTGGGAGACCCAGGGTCCCATCCCTGCTCCAAGGGCAATTTAAGTGTTTCAGACAAAGTGGGACAGCTTCAGCAGGAGAGGTCGAGAGAGACCTGCCCTGGAACACACCTCCTCAGGGCACATAGCTGGGAGATGGATGATGTGGGTCCAAGTTCCTCTCTGGATTAGAGAGAGGATTCAAAGCTGGATCTCCCATATGTCAGGTGAGTGTTCTGCCTATTCGGGATGGCACCCCAACCCCATGGAGTTAGATCACTGAGGCAATGCCAGGCCCCTGGTCTTCTACTGGCTGGCTTGGGTGGCTCCCTGCTCAGGTTGCTGGGTTCTGTGAATCCCATTCTTACCCAGCTCTCCCAATGCAGTGCTTAGTCTCCAAGCCCCCCACGCCAGCACGTGCCCAGGTAGGTTGTTCTAACGGTTAAACATCCTGGCTGCTAAAAATGTGCACCTTCTATCTAGTCTGCATGTGTCTAGCTGTTGGGTCTCCCAGCTGTTGGGTCTCAGTCTGCCTTTGTCTGCTAGATTAAAGATTCTCTGCCATTGGAAACCTCCTTGCTCAGGAGCTTCTGGGCTGGGTTCAAGTCACCTCTTAACCTTCTCTCGGGCAAATTAAACAGACTGAGCGTCTTTAGTTTCTTGCTGTGAAGCAGGTTTCCATGCTTGTGGCTCACATCTGAGCCATTCCCGATTTCTCCTCTGAACTTTCCACCTTCGCTTCCTAGTTTACAGGTTCTGACACCGATGTGCCAACATTCTGCAATTGCTCTGCAGCAGGGAGATAGGGCTGAGGATGAGAACGCCATTCCAGATGTTCCATTGAATTCAACCCCATGCTAACCTTGAAAGGTCGGTGCTATGATCCCTCACTGACAGAGGCGGAAGCTGCAGAACAATTGAGTGTTTTTTCCAGAGGGGCCGAGCACCCACCACGCCTATTGAAATCAGCCAGGAGTGCGGGTACTTCTGAAAATCCAGGCGTCCGTTATCTGTCCAAGGTCACACAGGGAACAGAGCTGGGAACAGTATCCAGCTCTCATACCTAGTGCTTTAACCACAAGCCCATCTTCCTTCTCCTATTGATTTCTCATGCCCTCTTGACGGGCAAGCCGTTGGGCAGCCCCCCTGAAAGAGCCTTTGCCTCAACCAGCCACGGGATGTCGCTGTGCTACATGAATTAGCTTTAGGTGCTAGCTGCACTGGCTGGAAGGCAGCATTTATTTTCAGACATGGGTTAATCTGATGTCAGGCAAGTGCTATTTTGCTTCCTGGATTTGCGTCAGAGCAGCACAATGTAAACCACGAGCTGCCATTCAAGGATATTCATGGCTCTGTTGCCTGCCGGAGCCCCCCTGTGTTCCAGGCAATACAGGCACTTCATACCAAGCAAGAGTTGGTGCTCACCCCTCTCCTTGGCGCTCTCTGTGCGAGGGAGATGCTATTTTCTTAAAATCTGGGCGGTGGCTCCCAGATATCGCCCAGATGAGCTAGGAGTTTTTTCCGTTTCCTGGTGCTCTGAAAAAGGGGGGAGCAGCCACCCAGCTGTGTTCTGGTGGCAGAGGAGCAGTGGTCACAGTGCCATCAGCAGATAGGGATTAAGAGAGAGAACATACCACTTCATCATCCTCTACTAGCACCATGTCATAGGCGCTGAGGGCTCCGCAGAAGATAATGCAGGTCACGCCTTCGAAGCAGTGGATCCACTTTTTGCGCTCTGACCGCTGTCCTCCCACGTCAAACATCCTGTGGAGGGAATAATTCTGCTGTTAGATAGCCCCTTCCCACCCAGAGCACTGAACACATAGGCAGTCCTAGCACCCATCGCAGAAATCCAGCCCACGCCGGGTTGGAATGTGGCAGCTGTTTACATGAGTGCAGAGGGCCAGATCCTTACCTGGTGTAAACTGACAGCACAATGGCGCTCTGCAGATTTACACCAGCCAAGAAACCCAGCCGTTTAGGATAGGATGTGAGGCAGGCTCTCCCAGCCCACTGAAATAAATGGCATTATCCTGGCTGGAATTTGGCCAGGATACCTGGGTCAGTGATGCCACCAAAGGGGAGAGGGACACAAGTGCATATGCACTCACCTGAAGTTAAGATCTTTGACAGCGAACTTGGTCTCTATGATCCCTGTGGTCTTCACTCGAGATCGTAGTACATCCTGTTCGTTGGGGAGGTAATCGGGGGCTGTGATCCGATCCAGCTGGTTCAGGTAGCTAGGCAGGAATGCAGAGAGCTGTTGGGAGCAGTCCTAAGGGATAGGGCATATAGCTGTCGGGCATGGGGAAGGAGGTCTGGGGTAAGGTGTTATCAGTGAGCTAGCAATTGTAGGAGAGGACAGTGGGAAGGTCCAAGCGATTCTGCTAGCCTGAGGGAGAGGAGATGTCATTCTAGCCCAACTGTAGAGCAAGAAAATCTCAGTTCATGACTTACCAGGGTCAAAGTATGCACATAGCCTTCTTACTTGCATTGCAGCAGCACCTAGGAGCATGGACCATGACCCCGTTGGGCCAGGTGCTGAACAAGCAGGGTCTGCTATGGCCCAAAGAACTAACAATCTAACAATAAGACAAGAGATGACAGATGGAGGCAGACAGACAGGTGGACCCTGCTGGTGGGAGGTGATGGAGCAGCTCTGTTAGTGCTGTGGTCTGGAAAGCCCGTAACCTTAAGTTCCAGCATCCACAGTTGCTCCTCCACCCTGCTGTTGAATGGGACTGTGCAGCTGCTACAGCCTACGAGGGAGCTGCGTGGCAGGCCAGGGTTTATGAAGTCAGAGAATGGCCATGTTTGGATCAACAGAGTGAAACAATGAAGTTGTGTTCCCTGCAGCATTCCCTGTAATGTGCCCGTGCCTCTGCTCTGCAGCCGTTGTGCCAGGCCATGGCTCTGGGCCCTTGAAAATTATGTTCATCTAACCTGAAGGGACAAATTGCGATGGTGTTGACACCAGCGTGTGTCTGGAGTAACCACTGTCTTCAGTGGATTTACGCTGCTGGGAGCAAAAGCAGCATTTGGCCCTGAGGCTACTGAAAGTCAGAGCCTGAAATACCTCATTGGCCTTAGATAGTGCAGCCTGTAATAGTACATGAGGCAGATTGGTGCTCAGATGCCTGAAATACCCTGGCATGTGGCATCAATTAAGGGTACAGGAACTAGGCTGGTAACGAGGGGTGGGCAGCCCCACTGCAGCAGGCAGTGATAGTCGCATGTCAGTGGTGTTTAGGGGCTTTGTCTGACACAGTAGCACTATCTTGGCCATGGGGGATAATCCCCTCTGTTCTGTATCTCACATGGAGCTGTTCTGGGCTAAGTGGGAGCACAGAGGACCTCGCTTGTTACATAGTGAATTATGAGAGTGCATGCAACTTGATGCTTCAAAGCCATTCTGGTCTGTCTTGCTTGTTTTCGAAAGTCCTTTAAGAGGCATGTACCCTTCCCTTGACGGACAAGGCTCTCCTTGGACTTAGTGCTAAAATTTCCACTGGCTTCAAAGGGAACAGATTGGCCCCTTCACCTGGAATTTCTCCTTCCCTTCCCCTTGGCTGCTGGTGAAAAGCTGAGTCCTCAAGTTTTTTTTTACATGGCAGTAGGGGGCGGGTGGTACCTGCTCCATAAAGTCATCAGTCACTTCAGCACCAGCGAAGGGGAAGATTCACAGTACTAAGCCCCAACGATGGATGAACCCTCTGTGTCCCAATAAGTTCGTGTCCATCCCTGGAGGATCTTGCCGTCTGGCAGTTGCTTTTCCTAATGACTGGGCCATAGGGACAGACTTACTAGGAAGCGGAGTCGTTGAGCTGGTACTCAGCTGCTCTGTCAAAACAGGCCTGGACTCCCGCATCTTTCCACAGCTTTTTTATACAGTCCACTAGCTCTGGGGGCATGGTGCCCTCCTCGATGGAATCTGCCAAGTTGCACAGCTGCCGCCCATCATCCTGTAAGAGACAGAGCCGGTGAGCAGGCTGGGGCCAGAGACGGGCACGAATGGCAGACCTGCTTTGGGCCCATCTGAACAGGGTAAGGTTTTGTGGGATTTTAATGTGGATTTTGAAATTTAAATTCTACCCCCACCCAACCCTGCTGATTTTCAAGAACAGCTTCCCCAGAGAATGTGGGGAAACATGCCCAGAATCCTGTCTGGCCAGGCCCTGGAGTGGGGAACTCCAGCTGCTCCCAGAATGCTTTCCTTAACCAGTAGATGGCAACACACCCATAGCAGCGTGGTGCCTGAAGGAACGGGAAACCAAACTCCTTGTTCCTCTGTGAATAATGAAAGGAGCAGGACCCTCCTCTCTGGACTCTCCTTCCCCACAGCTCCTCTTTCCCACACTTGGAGGTCTTGCCCTTCCCTTCCAATCTACATCACCTGGGAACCAGACGACTGCCACTTGCCCACCCAGTGGCAGTGGCGTCTATTAAAATATTTATCTGCTGTTGTAAGGAGCAGCTGGGAACGTTTGGCTTCTAGCATGCGCTAGCAGGAGTGAATGAGACACACAGGGTATGTCTACACCACAGCCTCCCAATCCCGGTAGACAGACTTGAGCAAGTGTGCTAAAAATAGCAGTATGGATGTTGCAGTTTGGGCACGGGCTCGGACTAGCCCCCTGAGCTCAGACCCAGGGGGTCAGGTGGGCTTGGACTCACACAGCTAGCCTGAGCTTCCGCTCGAGCCGCAGCATCCACACTGCTATTCTTCACAAGCAAGCTCACTCGAGTGAACACCAGTGAACCCATCTCTGCCCTGGGGCTCAGAAGGAACAAACTTCCTCTCCAACCCAAGAGCAGCATCCTGCATCCCAGGTTACCCTGCAGCCTCTCCCAGGACTCCTGCATATAACTGGGAATTGCAAGCACTCGAACAGATGAACACGTGGGGACCCCCCCCCCACACCTGCCTTCCCCTGTCCAGGGGCCAGACAGATGTTCCAGTGGTGGCAGGGGCAGCGTACTGACCCCTCGTCCTGGTTCGGCGTAATCTATCCGCAGCGTGGACATCGCTCGGATGATGGCCAGGATTGACTGCAGCACGTTGCCGTAGATGATGGACTTGAATTCCAGGCACTCTTCTTGCGTGTAACCATCTTGGTGGATAATCCTGCAGGGGGAGGGGAATGAAACACAGCCTTTAACAGGGATCACAGCCTTGCTTCCCTGGCAGGCCTCTCCCTGCAGCACAGACATTGGCACCTTGCCCTCCAGCCCGAAGGAGGCAGTGCAGGGACTGAAATGTGCCAGCTTGAATGCCTGCTTTTTTCCTGGCATAGCTGACTTTCCCCTTGGTGCTGGCTGGGGTGGGGTGTGGAGGGTAGCAGCCTGAGTGGCATCTACTAGCAGTGTCTGACAGTGTGTCACCCCATGCAGGGGAGAAAGGGAGCTCCTTCCACCCCTATCTACCCCTGTGCTGGCGTGCAGCCCGGCTCACAATTGGGCCCATTGTGATCTACACAGGTGCCTGGCAGCCAAGTCCAGATGCAACGAGGAAACGCCCTCCATCGGCTGGCTCAATGAAGACCAGGGTACCAGCTTTGAAAGGAAAGCGGTCTGAGACCCATGGCACAGATTAGCTCGCTGGCTCCTGGACTGACCACGCATGGCTCTGCCTGTGACAGAACCTCAGATTCATAGGGGAAGGTCAGATCACATGGGACCTTCTGCGACTGGACTCTGCTGACACGTAGAGCTCACTTGCTCCCTGTGTAACTCCATGATGGTTTGTGTTCCCTGCCCCACGGGGCTTACATCAGAGACCCAGCACAGCAAGGAGCAACGCACAAAGTGGGTGTGGTGGTTTCCTCCTCCCTTGTGCCTGGAGACTTGCAGCCTGCTGTTTGGTATGGCTGGCCATCAACTTGCCACCAGTACCCCACATGCCAACAGCTCACATGGGATGTACCCGCACTCCATCCACTCCCTGGGATGTTCCACAGGGCACGGGTGCTGAGATGCTAGATCCACTGACTATCTAGGCCAATCTCCTTGTCCTGAGAGTGGGCTGTAGCAGGTGCGTGGGAGAAATGAAACTTCCATCCCCACCCATCATTTGTTACTGAGATGACACATGAAGAGACCCCAGCTGATGATCAGTTCGTGCCTCGAAGCAGAAGAACTGGGCACCTTTTCCTCCTAGCTAGCATAACCACAAATGCTATTTTTATTTAGTTGTTTAATCCCTTTTTATTAATCTTGCTAAGCTATTGCCAGCGGGCAGGCAGCCTGGCCCAGCAGCAGCGCAGGGGTTAATCACGCTACATTCATGCCTAGATTAGGCTCTTAGAAGGAAACCGCCTTGGGCTGTGTTCTGGGCAACCGACCCTCAGCCCTACCGTGGTACTCACTTCATCTGTTTGACGATTGTGCTCTTGCCTGACTCCCCGGCACCTGGAAAAGAGCCAGAGGAAACGTTTGAGTGCCAGCATCCAGAAAGAGAGAGACATGTACATCTTAGAGGGGACCGCAGCTCTGGGGCACTCGGATCCTACAGCACTGGGACCAGCGTAAGGACCTAGATACGCAGCGCTCCGTATGCAGCATCTATCCTGCTCTTCACTCCTTTCCCCCATGCACTTTTCTCTGGGGTTGGCCCCTCAGACACTTTAGCATGGATGGATTTCTCCAGTGCGGGGTTATTTAGTGGCATATTAATGTGGATCAAACAGGTCAGTTGATCCGGGCCCTGGGCTCCCAAGAGCTCAAGAGCCCAACCCAGGGAATGGCCTTGTTTTGAGGGAGTGATCAAACTGGCTGTCTAGGAACCAGGGACTGAGCCTGCTTTTACATAACCGCCTGGCCTCTCCCCTTCAGCAGCCACCCCTGGAGGTGCTCGGCTCCCCTCGCTGGGCGCTGGTGCATTGCCTGGGCTCTGGGAAGGGGGAGGCACGCATGGGACAGCTGCGCTTCCCTTACCGCCGCTGTTCACCAGCACGTGTGCTGTTCATTGGAGGCTCTGTGCCAGCCAGCTGCACCCCAGCTCATCTCCCAGTTACCGAGTCCTCACCCTGTGGAAGCTGGGACAGGCGCTTCCAGCCCAAACCTGACCGCCCCCCCCTCCCCCCCGCCCAGGGTTCAAACCATCTTGTGCCCTGCAGGGTAGGGGATGAGGAAAGAACTGGGCACATGTGGTTTAGAGATGAGAAGGCTGAGGGAGAAACATAGCATGTAAAGGTGGTTACACAGGGGCCAGCGATCAATTGCTCTCCATGGCCACCGAGGGCAGGACAAGTAGCAAGCCACTTACTGGGCAGCCAGGGAGGCTTAGGTTGGATTTTTTAGGAATAACTTTCTACCTGTAAGGCGAGTTCAGCGCTGGAACAGGGGGCCTGGGAGGCCGGGGGGCGGGCTTAAAAATAGGTTACACCCATTGGGGTGGGCCTGCCTCAGCACAGGAGGATAGACTAGGTGCTCTGTTGAGGTCTCTTCCAGCCCTGTAGCTCGATAAGGGTATCTAGCCTCCACAACTCTCCTGTCCCAACAAACCCTCTTGCCTGGCTGCCCGGTATTCAGAGCCTTCGCTAAGCCCACACGTCCAGGATACATCCGCCAGAGCAATATCCTGCAGCTTCCATCATCCTTCCACACCCTCTTGCCTGAGTCTGCAACCCCACCCTCCATCCACCTAACCCGCCTGCAGACTATCTAGTGCATTGTCACTGAGCCCCTCTGCTCTGGCTCCTGTCCCACCTGCTCCTCTCAGTACTGGGCCTTGCTGGTCTGGTGGATCCAGGGGAACCACTGGTTATATACCCCTGCAGTCAGCTTTCTCAGGCCGAGGGCGACCCCCTGTGCCTTGCTCATGCCCCCTTTTTATTCCTCAGAGGCTCCCCCCTGGCTCGACTCATTTCCCTGGCCTAGGAAGGCTGGAGATCCCTCCCTCCAGAGCCCATCAGCAGTGCTCAAAGCTAGCTGCTGTGGGGGACACTCGAGTCCCATGCCCACGGCTGCCGTCGGCATGAAGGACCTGTCATTGCTACCGGGTCGGGGGACCTAGTTACGCCATAAGCCCCCCACAGTGGAACCCTACACAGCAAGCCTGGCCCATGTGTCTGTCATGCTGGGACCATCATACTGCGCTCCAGCAGGGTACCGTAGAAAGGACCATGTCGGTGGGCCTGGACTCAGCCTGGAGCTGGGATTCCCTGCACGCTAACATTGCCTCACCCCTTGGGCACGCCCAGCTCAACCCCGGGCTTTGCTTTTCTTAGCCTCCCCCTCTCGCTCTCCCGTCTCCGTTCTCGTCGCCTGCCCTTCGGTTCTCAGCTGCAAGCGCCAGGCGTCGCCTCATCTCATCGCTTTAAGCAGCTTATTCCAAACCAGGAAGCTGCTTAGAATTAGGGCCTAATCGCGCTGATCCCAGCCTCCCTGCCGTCACCTGGATGAACCTTATGGCGCTGCGCAGCGTCAGGCGTAGGCTTCCTGCCCTTGCAGTGCGAGCGGCAAGGCAGCCACGTTGTAACCTAGAACTCCGGGGAGCATTAGCCCCAGGACCTGCGAAGGGTGGCTCTGGGCTGAGACAGGCCCTGCTGGCCTCTCTCCGCTCCCAGGAGCTGGCTGGGAGGCTGGGTTTCCAGCAGGGGCTTCTAGCCTCAATCTCAGTTCTCTGCTCAGGTGGCGTCTTTCCTACAACCCCCCCAGTCACCCTCTGGAGCAAGGGTTTATTCTGCTGCCTTCACATTGCTGCGGTTCTGGCACAGGCTTGGAGTTCTCTCCAGGCACGGGGAGCGAGCATAGGAATCATAGAGGGTGGCTTAGGGCACCCTGAGCTGCAGACCAGGACTGACCCCCAGTGACCAGTTCCTGGGCTGGAATGGTGCAACCTGGTGGCCCCCCCAGACCATTGTGCACATCTAGTCTGAGCTGCTGCCATGCCCAGGCCAGAGACCTCAGCCAGACATTGCCGTATCGATCCCATCTCTTCGGTGTGAGCAGGAGCCTTTCTTTTAGGAGGAGACATCTGATCTTGATTGGAAGAGGGTGGTGGTGAATTACCCTCGCTGATTGTGACACTAAGCGGGGATTGGTTGGAGGCACCTGTCACTGGGGGTTTCCCCCGCCCATGACCATCCACTGACCTAACCTTCACCCTCGCACCTGCTCCCTACCTTCTGGATAGGTACTCCCTGGAACCTATCCATCCCTCATGCTTCCCCCCAGCTGCCTTGAAGAAGACACTTGGGCCCCTGCTGTGACCAAGCAGGGCCCCTCCTGGCTGACTTTACATGCACACGTATAAGATTTGGGTGCCCCAGACTTCGCCACATGCCAGAGTGAGCAGCAGCTTCACCTGGGCAGCACAGGCCCAAAGGAAGCTGTGCTCTGAGCTGGAGCCCAGGGAACTGGAGAGGGGACGCTGTAGGAGAATGAGAGCAGGCCGGAGACTCCAGCTCCATCGCAGCTTTAGAAGGACTAAACTGTGTGTGCCCTTGGCATCTCCTAGCAGGCTCCCTTCCCTCAGCAGTGCTGGGCTGACAGTGAGAACTGCCCCTGCATTCTGCTGTTTGCAGTACTCAGCTCTTGTTCTAGTGCCCGTAAAAGGGCCGAGAGAGGCACCCAGTCCAGGAGTAGGATCGCCCCATTCGCTCCAGCTTGCAGATCAGCAGACTTGTGAAGTCTCTGGCTAGTGACTCAGTAATGCAGACTCAGAGCACAGGCCCTTCTGCAACTGGGATATTAGGCTAAACTGAGGCTTTTAGTAGTCAGGTAAAATCAATGTGTTCAGAAATAAAGTCCATCCCTTTCTATTCACACTGCTCATGGAGCACCGAGGGTTTTCTACCACCAAGCAGATAACGGACCCAATCATCATCACCCTCTGCCTTTCTCTAGGCCAGAGATCTCAAAGCGCTTCATCAGTGTTAATGAGTTGCGGTTTGATCCTGCAACGCCTTGCTCACCAGAGTAGCCTCGCTGCCAGATCCAGCCCTTACACCTCACACACAATACACGTGGGGCTAGGGATAGTACTGCCATCCTGTTTGACAGCTGTGGCCTCTGTGGGTCAAACTGTGAGGCTGCAGCAGAGTTGGGGCTAGAACCCAGGTGTCCTGATCCTCTGTCCTGTGCTTCAGCCACTAAACTCTCATGTGAAGTGAAACATTACATATACATCTTTGCTTGTCGTTTTTTGGCCAGAAAAATGACTCTGATCAATTCCCTTTTCACACGTGGCCCTTGATGAGTCACCAAATCAATCCAAAGCCCCCCCTCCTCCCAATGCTGAAAGACCCAGGTATGTAGTTACCAAGTGCTGACACTAGCCACAGCATTCCTATTCCCCCCACCCCTCCACCACTGCCCCTTCTGGAAAATTACAAATAGATTTTAATCCCTACTGAGGTGCTGCCCCCTTCACCTAGGCTTTTCTCAAGAGGGTGTTTGTGACCTCTTGTCACATCCGATTGGCTGAGAAATCTCTGTGTCCTGGCTAATCGCTTCAGTTAGGAAGTCGTCAAGCTAATGAGAGCCCATCTGGTGCTACTTAGGAACAGATCCTCCTCTCAGTTGGAAAAAAATGAGAAAAACAACAACAAAAAACTCAGGGTGACCATATTTCTGAACCCAACATGGACTGAAACAGCCAGACCAAGCCCTCCTGCCTTGGTCCTGCGCTGCATTTCATGCTCCCTCTTCTCTTCCTTCTGTCTCCCATCCCTTGGCCACCAGCAGATACTACCACTTTCTAATCCCTTCACATAAACTGATTGTCCTCAGGCCCTGCAACAATAACCCCAGTTTCGCCTTTCTTGCCCCACCTCCCCTAGCTTGGCATCACCATGTCTCCTCTGAGGGTTGCCTTCGTCCCAGGCTCTGCTTAGCCAACTCAGAACTGAAGGCTGGGTTGGCACAGGCTAACCATCCCCCTCCTACCCTGCATTCATCCTGAATCACCAGGATCCCCTGTTGGGCCATTCTCTGCAGACTGCACATTTATTACCTGCATGGAGACCAGCTCTGAGTGGTACAGAACCGCTTCCCTGCCCACTCATTTCTGGATCCACCCTAGGAGCTCAAGGTGCCCCAGGCAAGCTGCAGCGTTGCCCAGCTCCCATGCTTACCTAACAGCAGCAGTTTGACCGTCTTTGCCTCCTTGTCTGCATCTTCCTGGAGTTTCTTCTCCAACTCCTTGGACCTTTTGGCCAGTTCTTTATCTTCAGCGCTCGCTCCACTCCCCATCTCGTCGTCTTCCTCCTCTAGCTCCTCTAACTCCTCTAGCTCCTCTGTCTCTTCCAGCTCTTCACCCTGGGTCACTCACCCTTTACGGGGTGGGGAGAGAGAGAGAGAAAAAATATATATCTATGCCCAACCCTCCACGGCGCCAGAGAAGGGCCGCACGCCGCAGCCTGGCTCTGGAGTTCCACGCAGGACGGCTGCCGGCTAGAGACTGCTACGAAGGCAGCATGGGAGCCCTTCACTTTGCCCCTCTCCCTCTCTCTCTCTCTCTCTCTCTCTCTCTCTCTCTCTCTGCTCTTTACCTTAATTCCCCATGGATAACCCAATTTCTGTCCTACGGATTGGGGACTTTTTATCTCACCATGTGATCTGGGAAATCCAATTAGATGAGCCCAAGATGGCAAAGATTAATGCCTGGGAAATGAGAACACTGGACGAGGCTACGGGCGGGGCGGAGAGGGTCATTATGTAAGAGGGAAAGGGAGAGCGCCCCCCATCCTGCAAGCACACACGGGAAGGAATCCCACTGCTGCAGGGGCCCTATGGTGTGTGACTTGCAGGGCCGGCTCTGGCTTTTTTGCCGCCCCCCCGCCCCCAGCGGGAGGGCGCCGGGGGGGGAGGGCGGCCGGAGCGGAGGGCGGCCGGAGCCCTGGGAGAAGGGCGGCGAGCCCCGGCGGGGGCTCCGCTCTCCCCCCGGCGGCCAGGGGGAGGGCGCCAAGGAGGGAGGGTGGCCAGAGCGCCGGGGGAAGGGTGGTGAGCCCAGCCGTGGCTCCACTCTCCCCGGCGGCCGGAGCGCCGCGCCGCCCCCCTCCAGGTGCCGCCCCAAGCACAAGCTTGGTGGGCTGGTGCCTGGAGCCGGCCCTGGTGACTTGGGGGGCTCCAGGCCAGCCGCACAGAGCTGGAGAGCTCTAGATGAAAAATGTCAGCCAGGGCTTGCTGGGTAAACCAGCCTTCTCCTTTCTGTTGCTCCAGATCTGGAAGAGGCTGTTTAACTAGCAGCCGAGAGGGACAGCCAGCACCCTAGCAGCTGGGGCCCCAGTACCACGGCAATGGGTGCATTAAAAATTCATTGATCGTTGGCTAGTTAGATGTTTGCACACTTCATAGCTTCTGTTAGCTGAGCTCCTTGCCCACCCCAGGGTCTCCTGGCTCCCCTCCATTCTCCCCACAGGCTCTTTGCGTGCCATTCTCCTAGCCCTCTCTATTTCAGGGACTCCTCCCACCCCTGCCCCATGCCAGTGGCTCTATGTACCCCCCTCATTCCCCTTTCCTCCCCTGTCCTCCATTTCTCACTTTCCCACCATGGCAGGGACTCTGTGCCCCCCTTCCCTCTCCTTCATATGCCAGTAGCTCTGTGTGCCCCCACATACCAGGGTCCTCCATTTCCCACTCCCAGCCAGAGGCTCTGTGTGCACTCCCATGCCCCTTCATTCCCCCCGTCTTATTTCTGTCTAGGAGATAAATAATTCAAGGGGTCACATGTTAAAGTCTCTTGGGAGGATGGGCAGAGCTGAACTGGCTAGCAGGGGTTGTGCTGGAAGGTGGCAACATCAACTGGTTCTTTGATCTGGGATGATGATGGCAGAAGTGGTTGAAATGCTGGGTCTGCTAACCAGCTGCCAGGGCTCCATGTGTTCCCCATTTTTTCCCCTTCCAGTTGTTGAGTTTTCACCAAAATCTGCACAGTTCTGCCCATGAAATTCCATTCTCTGAAATTTTGGAATTGGTCAGATGCAGCATTCAAATATTATCACGTTAGAAACATACTAACAGCCAAACAAATGCCAAGAGCTTCTCTACACAGGTTGTGGGTTTTTTCCCCCCACATTAACTATTGTTTTGGACTAAAATGGCCAGTGTCCATCTAACACAATCTCTGTCTTTCTTTTCTTTTTGTTTTTAATTATCTGGCCATTTTTTGCAAATTGGCTAATCCATTTTGCAAATGGATTGAGTCCATTTTGAGATGAGTTAGTCCAGCACAGGTCCGTGTGGACATATCTGTATTTTGAATGAACAGTTCTGCCTCTGGCAGTCCTCCCACTGCTATCCCACACTGCACTGCTTTGTACCTGGATTGGCCTGTCTTTTTACCTGCATACCTTCTACTACTCTGGCATCATATTGACTGGATGTCACCTCCATTTAAACACTGGCATGCAGCCACCTGTGTTCCATCCATGTGTATACACTGCCAGAGTCACATATCCCTCTCAGTGGTGCAGCAGCCATGCCGCATGCATCCCCAGGGAGCCGTGCAGAGATCATGGATTTCCTTATGAGCTGGTGAGATGGCCTAGTCCTGCCTTAGTAGCTACCCTCAGAATACCAAGATATACGAGTCTGTATCGAATCCAGTGATGGACTGGGGTCACTCCCAGGACAGGTTCCAGTGCCACTCCACAGGAAAGGACAACCAAGCCTCTGGAATGGTCCCAGCCCCTGCCCCTCCTATCACAAGCTGGACCAGATTTTTGCCAAGGGGAGGCACCCTGTTGTTCTGTGGACAGCATTGGAGGCCCCTAAGAGGCCCTGTAGTGAGGTAGAGTGGCCTCCCACTGAGCCAGAGAGGGAGGAGCTGCTCTCTGAGCCCTGGTGGGCGGAGCCAGGCCCGGCCCAACCCTCCTGCTGGAAGCTAAGGGGCGGGACAGGAAGTATAAAAATTGGGCATGGGGCCACTAGCTCAGTTGAGCCTGAGCCAGGGAAGGAGATAGATATCTCAAGCCTGCTGCAGACCTTGGGCCCTGCTACCCGGGTGAGGAGCACCCTGACCCCTGAGGAAGCTGAGAGTGGAGAGGAGCAACCCGGAATGCCAGCAGCCGAATACCCCGATGAGACAGAGGACCCCATGACTACGGAACCCCTCTCCCAGGAAGTAGCCCAGGGAAACCAGTTTTGCTGTCAGAACCCAAGTCAGTGTGTTGTGGTGGGATCCCTGCTGTTCCAGTGGAGTAGGGTGGGCCCGGCTCTCCCTACCCCTGCTGCCAACCCAACCCCTGAGGTGGCAGCCTTCCCACCTTAGGTCAAGAGGCCTGCATTTGTCTGCCATATGCCTGAGCCAGGATGTTGCTCTTCCGCACTCTCCTCCATTACTGCACAGTTAGCTCAGCGGTGGAGCTGAGGGCAGAACAGTGCGTGGGGGAGGAGCTGGGGTAGGGGCGGAGCTGGTCTGTTGGCAGAGCAGGGGGCAGAATGGAGCTGTGGCTGGGGGCGGAGCTGGTCCGTTGGCAGAGCAGGGGGCGGAGTGGAGCTGCGGCTGGGGGCGGAGCT